TCAACTAGGTCTACTTTCCCGACAGATTCAAAGACCTCTGCGAGGGACTCGCTGTCCACCTTCCATGGCAGGTTACCAACGTAGAGCTTCGTCCCTGCTGCAGTTTCCTGCTCTACTTCTTCGTCCTCGACGCCGCCATAGCTGGTTACTTGCTCAAGCTCCTCTCCGATATCTGCCCGGACTCTGAGGGAGACCATCCTCGACGCTCTCTTCGCCACGTGGCCGAACAAAAGCGACGTTGAAGATGGACATGTGGTGCTCTGCGTCGGAGCCGCTCCAGGCGCCACGTGGAAGAGATTGCCCAGAGAAGAGGTCATCTCCAAGGGAGAACAAGGCGACGAGATTGAGACATTCTGCAGAGCGCAGGAGAGACCGGGGCAGCGACGGGAGGAGGCTCCGCCGACATCGCCGCCGGCAAGCGAAGAGGGAGAACAAAGAGAGTGAAGACGACTAGCCAGCCCGGAGGCGGCGGCGCTCGTGGCGGCGGCGGCCATGGCTGCCGCTTTTTCCCTCACGATTGAGTGGCTGACAAGCCTTGCTTCTCCTTCTTCCTGCTTCTCCTTTCTCCTTGCTTCCTCCTGCTACGACTACTCTCCCGTCCTTACGAGTTGCTGCTCGTCCCTCGAGAACGACGGACAAGCGGTGCAGGCTCGGCGCGCAACGTGCACACCGACCAACCAAACAACAAGAAGAGGGAACGTGAATCTCGCCGCAATGAAATCTTCGAAACGGACACCACGATTCAGACAACAACACGATGGAAGAGTTTTGCACAGCACACGGACTGCGCAGAGAGGGAGGGAGGGACGGGAGGAGGGAGGGAGTAGCGAGCGCTCGGAGAAGAAAAGGATAGGGCACCGGACCTCCTTTTTGTTCGACTGCGGCAATCCAGTTGACACACAGAAACTACCGTGGGTTGAAAAACTGCATGAAAAATATGGCCCAAACAAAGCTAACATTTCGAACTTACCCGGACTCATATTTGTCCAGATGCGTTCAAAATGTTGGCGGATGGCCAGTAGTGCAACTGTAGCGCCCTAAACAACGTGAAAAGAAAAATCGAGAACGAGCGCGCGAGCACAGGCACCGCCTGAGAGAGACGCAGAGCCGAGCGGGTCCCGGGAAAAGGGCGCCACGGGAAAGTGCAAATCTACCAGCGGCGAGAGAGAGCGGCCGCCTCGTGAAGCAAACCGAGGCGCAGCTACACGTAGGCAAAGGGACTACTTTGCACCCCTCCCCCCCATCCGCCAAGATTTTGAATGCATGTGGACAGCATGATGTCCACGTGCGTTCGAAACGTTCGCGGCTGGCGAGTCGTGCAACAGCTACGGCAGTAGGCTCAAAGTGAGGTGGGCCGTGAGCGCGGCGCCGCAGGGCGGCAGGTTGAAAAATGAAAAATTGAAAAGCAGAGAAACCCCGCCATGCAGTGCCGCGCCGTCACCCGGCGGGCTGTCCGCCTCGGCTGGGCTGGAAGGGAACGCGTTGGCGGCGGGCACACCGACCACACAGCGTCAAATGGGAACGGCAGAAAGAGATGAGATAAGAAAGAAGATAACATGAAAATACAATTAAAATCAAAAAGCAAATTGAAAAAACAAGGGAAGAAAGGATTTGGGCGGAGTGAAAAGGAAAAGAGAAAGAACAAAAAGGAAGTGCATGACACGTAATGTGATGTCGGTGGGGATAAGGATACTTGAACTTTTCTGGGCGCATCGGACCATAATTTCGACTACATGCGTTTTCAGGAAACCACTAAGATGATAGTGTCGCTAGGGCTGCCATTTTCATCGCCAAAAAAGCACTAAGGGCATACTCACACTAGGACTTTTCTCGCCAAAGCTCTGGACGTGATTGCCATCAGATTCGTCTACATCTGTCCGTAATTGCAGCCAGATGCATTTTGGGAAGTACTGACTATGCCCTAATGTGATTTGAGTAGTCTCGCAGAGAATACCCACCCAGCCCATCTCAGAGAATACCCACACCCAGCCCATCTGTTGATAAAGCGGCCGAGCTCGAATCCCGTTCCCTCACCCCATGAAGCGGATAGATTCTGGATTGACTAAGGCCGTCAGTACACGCCCCAGGCAAAAAGAATAGCTGGACCAACTGGCCTGCTGAGTTGGTACACCTCCGGAACTGCTGAAATACAGACCCAAGTTCGAAGTCCGCTGGGAGCAGATGAGTGAAATACTAATATTCTAAATTGCAGGGGGGCAGTCAGTTCTATCAACTTCTATGATAATATCGCAATGCCGTCGCCCGAATCAAAAAAAGAAAAAGGGGTAACTTCAGTAGAGTCACAAAAAAGAGTTATAATTGCAGTATGGGACGATACAATTTGCAATTGCACTTCAGGCACCCTACCTGGCCAGAAAGGTAGGTTGGATACATTGCCCATACTGCAATTTGAAACTGTATCTTGGCCCATAGTGCAATTATAACTCATTTTGTGACTCCCGTGTAGTTTCCCTCCCAAACAAAAAAGAAGAATAGCTGGGCAAATATATTTGCCAAAAATTTTAGGGTTCAGGGCTAGCAGACCAAAATGGCTGGTGCCCCATCGTCGAACGGCGCGGTGTACCAGGCAGACCCTGCTCACGGCCTGTTTCTCAACCGGTCCCAGCTAGTACTCTCACTGGCAAAAGGAGGGCTGTGCCATTGGACCTTCCATTCATCTACACGAAGGAGGGTGCACAGCATAGGGTAAGGCAGAAGGGCAGCAAACTAACACACCCACATGGTCAGGGAAAACAGGGGTCATCATGCGACTGGAGGGTAAAGTCGAGGATGGTCGATAGATGGGAATGATGGGAACTCCGTGGTCCAACTGGTGAGTCTCCAGACTGAAGTCGAGTCGAAGTAGCCAAGATGAGGTAGGAGTAGCGCAGAAACCGAGTAGAAACACTGCGACAAGTACTCTGGTACTGAAGAGAAGCACCGAGGTCGAAAGTCGAATGTGGAAGCCGGATGTAGAAAATGAATGTGGAAGTCGAATGTAGAAGCCAAATGTATAAGTCGAAACCGGGAACTGCTGCATAAGTGTCCAAGAATGGTAAAAGATAGAGAGCGTGTAGGGGGTATAGGTCAATCACGACAGTGAGAAGGAAGTCGATGGGTACAGTGAGGACGAGAGGAATCAACTGCAACAACAGGCGGAACCACATTCACGGGGGAAGGGGGACCTGAGGCAGGTGTTGGTGGAGCTGGAGGCCCCATCGATGGAGGAGGGGGAATGTTAGTGGTCGTTGAAGTAGATGGGTCAATAGAAGGACGAGAAATATGAGAGGAGAATGATGAAGGGAAAGGATGAGCACGATCGTAAGCACGCACGAAAGTCATAGCATGCTTCAGGTGCTCGAGAGGCTCCCAAGTAGACTCCTCGTCCGAATAACCCTTCCATCGAACGAGATACTCGAGTCGGGAAGGGTCACCATCAGTCATACGCCGGGACGCGATATCAGAGATGATAAACTCCTCGTGACCCTCAATGATGATAGGAGAGGGGCGAGGGTAAGGTCGACCATGGAACTCAGGGGGAGACCGTCCGAAGGGGTGCAATAGAGATACACGAAACACATCATGTAGGTTAGTGCGATACATGGAATCGGAGAGCTTCAATTGGAAGCTCACCGGACGGTCATGATTAGGTCGGCGAGTGAAAGAATAGTGCATGGACGGATATATTGGCGTCTGAATTTCCGAAGCGTGTCGGCCTCGGGCTGGAAGTGACGTGCGTCGACAAGGACTTCGTCCCCAAGTTTGAAGAGGTGATCGATGCAAAAACGGTTGGCGCTAGTAGCCATGCGAGTTTGGGAGTCTGGAATGCTCACAAGAGCATTGTTGAAAATCTCATCCATCTCCTTAACYCAGTCATCAAGGGCGGGGCATTTAGTGTCAGGATGAATCTGAGATGGACGGAGGAGATCAGATGGGACACGAGGGTGATATCTGAAGTCACAGTAATAAGGAGACATGTCGGTGGCTGGTGAAATAGCATGGTTATAAGCAATCTCGGCATATGCGAGATAAAGGTCACAATCAGAGTCATTCTCAACAAACCTTCTTGAGAATATTCCCAAGAGTTTTGTTGGTGACCTCGGTCTGTCCGTCTGACTGGGGATGGTAAGAAGAGGAGGAGCGAAACTCATAGCCGTAGATCTCGTGGAGTCCACGCAAGAAGTGGGTAATGGAGCGGGGGTCACGGTCAGAGACAATGTTAGTACGAAGACCATGATGAATGGCGATGTCGTTGAAATATAGTGAGGCGATGTCTTTAGCTGAACTAGCATACTCGCAAGGGAGGAAGTGATCATGCTTACTAGTCATCCGACAGACAACAACGAAGATGGCGTCGTGGCCTCATGGGGTAGGGAGACGAAGTGGATCGATGAAGTTCATAGTGACAGATGTCCAACGCTGAGTAGGAATGGGCAAGGGTTGAAGAAAACCGTAGGGGGGATGATTGGTAATATTAGGATAACCCTTCCATCGAACGAGATACTCGAGTCGGTAAGGGTCACCATCAGTCATACGCCAGGACGCAATATCAGAGACGATAAACTCCTCGTGACCCTCAATGATGATAGGAGAGGGGCGAGGGTAAGGTCGACCGTGGAACTCAGGGGAAGACCCTCCGAAGGGGCGCATTAGAGATACACGAAACACATCATGTAGGTTAGTGCGATACATGGAATCGGGGAGCTTCAATTTGAAGCTCACCGGACAATCATGATTAGGTCGGTGAGTGAAAGAATAGTGCATGGATGGATATATCGGCGTCTAAATTTCTGAAGCGTGTCGGCCTCGGTTTGGAAGTGACGTGCGTCGACAAGGACTTCGTTGCCAAGTTTGAAGGGGTGATTGATGCGAAAATGGTTGGCGCTAGTAGTCATGCGAGTCTGGGAGTCTGGAATGCTCACAAGAGCATTGTTGAAAATCTCATCCATCTCCTTAACTCAGTCATCAAGGGCGGGGCATTTAGTGTCAGGATGAATCTGAGATGGACGGAGGAGATCAGATCGGACGCGAGGGTGATATCTGAAGTCATAGTAATAAAGAGACATGTCGGTGGTTGGTGAAATAGCATGGTTATAAGCAATCCCGACATATGCGAGATGAAGGTCCCAATCAGAGTCATTCTCAACAAACCTTCTTGAGAATATTCCCAAGAGTTTTGTTGGTGACCTCGGTCTGTCCGTCTGACTGGGGATGGTAAGAAAAGGAGGAGCGAAGCTCATAGCCATAGATCTCGTGGAGTCCACGCAAGAAGTGGGAAGTGGAGCGGGGGTCACGGTCAGAGACAATGTTAGTATGAAAACCGTGATGAATGACTATGCCATTGAAATATAGTGAGGCGATGTTTTTAGCTGAACTAGCATACTTGCAAGGGAGGAAGTGAGCATGCTTACTAGTCATCCGACAGACAACAACGGAGATGGCGTCGTGGCCTCGTGGGGTAGGGAGACGAAGAGGATCGATGAAGTTCATAGAGACAGATGTCCAACGTTGAGTAAGAATGGGCAAGAGTTGAAGAAGACTGTAGGGGGGATGATTGGTAATATTGGCCTCTTGGGAAATTTTGCACATGCGGACATACTCCTTAACAAAGGTGCAACGGTGCCTAAAATAGTAATGGCGGTAGAGACGGTCAAGAGTCTTGTAGACACCGAAACGACCGGCGGCGCGTTGTTCATGACTCTCAGTGAATGCCTGAACGAGGAGTTGGTCGGTAGAAGGCACACATAAATGAGGAGTACGAGGATGATTGAGTCCATGCCAGTACAAGAGTTTAGAGGGGTCGAGCTGAAAGTTAGAGACGGTTTTGCCA